ATGAATTAAAAATCTATCAACTGTGTTAACGTATTACTCGAACGCTTCGCATTTGTAAATAGTAATTAGTCGACCACGGGATTCGAATCGCAGCCCTCTAGATTATGAAGCTAGTAGTTACACAACCTAGTGGTTAAATAATCTCTAAATTTAATCTTATTTTAATCCAGTTTGTCAGAAAAAGTGATATTTTCCAAAAAGACAATAATAGGAGCCGTCATATCTTTCGACTAGATTCGGCGCCATACTGAACTCTTGCCGTAGCACCCCACAAAAAAATCAGGAGAAACAAATTTCTTTTTTAATCAAAATTTTTCTCTTAGTCATAAAATTCAATTTTGTCATTAAATTCAAATAAGCATTACATCAGCAAGGGTTTCTAAAACTTGAACAGGATTTCTTCATGTGCTTGGTTTGTTAGTCCCGACGAAAAATAAGTAGCCCTGCCATAACCCTAAATCGGACTAGAAAAAGTAACATTGGTCAACCTAAGCATTTACAAACAGATTGAGTTGCTTTTGAATACACCGCACGAGCAAATAAGTATTCAATATTCTTCAATCCTCTTATTAGTTCCATTCAAATCCTGTTCTCTTTATATAAAGTTCTCTCTTAGCCAAAAACGTAGCCAATGGTTCACCAGGTCAATTTTTCATTCTGAAATTGAAAAGACCACATTTGAAAATAGAAGTGTTTTTTTAAGAAGCAGTTCAGTAAAGCTAAAACCACGTATGTCTCCCAATACTTAGACACATGTGTGCAAAAAATGGTGTTAAAGTTCAAAATTTTCGTAAAACTAAAATCATCCAATTCCTTTGCGTCAAGGCCAAACTGTTCAAGCTTTGTTTTATTAAGTTTAACATTTTACTCGGCCTTGTAGATACCTGAGAAGTGGCAATTTAGTTGCTGAACAAAAATGGAACACCGAGGCGAATCTTAAATTCACAAATACCAGCAAAAAACGGGAAACACTTTCGCAAAAACTTCAAAGTAAAATGTTAGAAAATATATGCCTTGAAGAAACTCGCCTCAAAATGAAAAACGGGAATGAACCGACGGAAACTAGGCCGAAAACCACGAATTCGAAAAAAATCCATTTTCAACGGAAACGCAGGACATCTATTTACTACTTAAGTGAAGGTAGCTTTATTTGAATTTTCAAGAAATTGAGCATGTCTGAAATTGAGTATGTCTGAATATTACTACTCCTACACATTTGTTTATTCGGTGCGTCAAGTTTTTACTGGAAAACAATTTAGTACCCAATTCAATACCCTTGCTTATCGCAATGGTAAAAAGTAAATCTAGGATTGTTTTCGAAGGGGAAAATTTTCAAAAAATAGTCACCTTTCGATTCGTTTAAGTTGACAGAAACATCTTTCAATGCTTTTCCAAACACAAAACATAGCCAACAGACAGTTGAAAATGACAAGGAAACCAAAAAAAATGATTCGACATTTTTAATAAAACATTATTCAACTTGCATATTACATATAGTCTCTTTAAATTTCAAATAATGTATGTATATAATTGGCACCAATTTTGTAAATTTATCTCATTAGTAGAAAAAACTATATCAATAGGAAATTTTTTCCCGCTAGGAATTTATGATTGGCACTAATTTAAAAAAGCTACCCCATTGACAGAAAACTGGATCAATAGGTAATTTCTTTAGGAACTGAACTGAACTTAAAAATATATCAAAAGTCCAACCGAAAAAAAAATTAAATATGAGCGTAACCAAATTTTAAGACTTACCTGAAAAAATCATCAAGACCTATATAAGTGAAAATCACTTCCTTCTTTTGCACTTGAAAAGACTTCAGCTACTTAAATTTCATCGCCACCGGCAAATTTTTGAGAAGTGCCCAAAGGACTTCCTTCAAATCCGCCCAAGAAAAATATCCAATTCGACAATCTCTAAATACAAGAAGCTACATACCAGCCCCAAATCTGCACCGTGCCTATTTTTTCATTATTCAATTATTTAACTAATCAACAAACCTTGGCCATAAGCGACAAGGTAATGTATTTGGGGGTTTAAGTGCTTTCCGAGTTATTAGCATATATTTCAACTAGATTAGAAAAATCTTTGACTTTCAAGATAGCACCAAAGCGGCAATCGACAGATTTAAGCCAGCCACAGGACATGGATTACAGACATTTATAACTATTTAGGCATTTGGAACAGAGAAAACTCCGGGTTATCGCAGACAATAAAAATAACTTCATTAGTCATACTAAAGGTCAACTACAAAATTGAAAGGCAAAAGTATAAACAAAAAACATTTTTTAAAACTGCTCCCAAGAAATTGACAAGAAACTTTCACAGAATCGAAACACAGCTTCGCATCACTTGCGATACAATGTAACAGAGAATGACAGAGGTAGCCGAAAGCCACCAGTAAAAATTAAATAACGCAATAAGCAACCCAAAACTTCATAAATCTCAAATTCATTTCGATGAAAATCTGCCACGAAACGCGATTGCAATCAATAACTAAGCAAAAGACAAAATTCATCGATAGGTTACTAAGCAGACAATACTTGGTTAGATGTCCGTTAAGCCGAGAAAACTGGTCAACAATTTTATGATACAATGGTTTCTAAAAATAGGGTTCTAAGTAGAGGCATAGTAACAAAAATAAATTTGTTTTAGTATTTGAAACGACGTAATATACGGCAATTAAATCGATATAACAAGCCAAAACCATTCATGCAAAATCTTGGAACACAATTATCTGCAACATAAAAATTTTAGATATAGTATTTTTCAATATTTTACAAAGCTTAAAGTCGAAAAAAAGGCCTTCTGAGGAAACTTAGCTGAAAAAATAAACCGATACACAAATAAACCGATACACGAAACATAGATTTTTGAAAAAAAAACTTTTGGACTTTTTTTAAAAAATTTCAGCCATGAAAAATCGATATGCCTACCTTAAACCTAGTAACAAAATTGTTGTGTAATAAGAGAACTAAAACGCTCAGTAGCTAGAAAAATAAATCCACACGATCAGACGAAAAAAAGTTCACAAAAACCATGTATGCAATGCAGTTGCAGAAACATCTGTTTCCTTTTTTCTTCACTAACAGAAACGTTTCGTGCTTACTTAACCGAAAAACCACTGCTCAAAATTGAATTGAAACAACTAAACACAACGAAAGAAAGAGTATAAAAAATAGCGAAAAACAACTTAAATTGATATTTTCAAACGATAAAATCTCAAAATTATGAGCGAAGATTATAACTTTAAGAAAAAATATTTTCTGATCTAATAGCAAATAGTGCTTTGAAAAATCAAGTCTATTCCTTAAAACCAATATCGTTACAAGAAATATACGCCACAGAGTACTTCAAAAAATAGCCTTCCACACAAAAAGCAGTAAGTAAACCTACATCTGTGAAAAATAATAAAAAGAAATGTTTTCCTTTTTGTTTTTTAAAAGTGTACCAGAAAAAGTTGAATTTCAGCTTTCGCAAACGAATTGTCAAAATTCAATCAATTTTATTAAAAACTGACTAGCAACTAATAAAATAACATAAGGTAAATAAGCCGAGATAATTAAGGCCGACAGCCAATAAGCTGAGAATAAGCCGAAACTTTTTCGGAGAAAACGAGACTGCTCGTATTCAAGGCAAAGCCTTGAATGTTCCGACCCTGAATGTTCCGAATGAGCCTCTTAACCCATATCGAAGAGTTTTTGGGAAAAGAAAATTTTGAAAAACTAAAAATTTTGGACTATATCAAAGATCAATTGTGAATGTTTGAGTCGTACGATTTTAATACGACCAATTACATAGCCTCAATTCAATTTGGAACGATTTTTTTGTGCGGGATAATTCACTAGGCATACAAAATTCGTGTTAAGCTTTCAGCATTATGAACAAAATCTTCAAAGCGCATAAAATGGACCGTAGCATGGCCAAATTGGCAATTTTCAAACTCCCATAATTTAGCAAAAAATTGTCGGAGGTAAAATATCTTTTTACATTTGATTTCAGGGAGTCGATAGTTCAATGGGGTATAAGAAAAATTTGTTAAAAACTAAAAATTGACTGAATATAGAAAAACACCCCAAGCATAAATATTCACGTTTTCTTCGAAAGTCAGAACAAAAAAGAAATTTCAAAATCTTCCATTTAACAAATACAGAGCAATCAAAAACCCCTCATGTGCGACGACACTTGTAAGATGTAAGTTGTACATAAGTAATTTACCATTTCTAAGTTCCTTCTATTTGCTAATTCTCTGAACAAAGTTATTTACGGGGGAAAAAGTCTAGCACCCGGTTGCAATGCCCTTGCTTATCGCAACGGTAATAAACAACAATAGAAAGAGAAGGTTGGTTTCCGAATTGAAATTAACAATTTCATCATTTAACTTCCTTGGCGACAACTTATCCAGGACATTTACTGCTATCCTGCCACATGAAGGTACTTCATAAAACCGTTGAAACTAGTTTAGTCGTTACAACTTCAATTACATACATGGAAAAGTGCAATAGAGCCTTGGATGGCCATTGAAAGCCTCGCCATCATTAGTTAATATTGTTAAACTTTCAAGCTACTTTTCAAGTAGCACGAAACGGTATATACATTCCGTAATAATCTCCCTGATGTGCTGGGTTATGAAACAAACCAATAGCGGTCTCTTTCGAAAGTGTTCGCTCTCAAATATCTATGACATTTTCCTGAATAATATTTGCTAGAAAACCAATTGAAACTCATTCTGATCATTAAATGAGCACGCTTTATTCACTAGTTTGATATTCGGGGAAAATAGTACGAGGAAATCCTCCACTTCCTTTTAAAAATCAAACCCATTCAACAATTTCCCTCCTTATTGCAAAAGGGAACCCACTTATCACTAGATCCAAAAATGGGCATCTACGCAACTGAGGGATTTGTACTTTACAATGAGCGAAATTTGTTAGTAATTAAGAACCCTATAGGGGGTGGCTGGAGGGGTTGGATAGACCACGAAAGCCATGCATACCCATAGAGCAGTAAACACTGTAGAATGCAGGAGGGGCCCACAGCATCTGCCCATTGGACCTCGTGATCACATTCGAGTAGAAGGCCACCTCAAACTGACCATCAATCCTGCAACAACAAAAAACAGATAGTTTGACTCGTAATAAATGGATCGGTGCATAACCAGGGCGAAGCCTTGATGTTCCGATTGCCATTTTATATAAAATGTTAGATTTTTTTCTTCATTTTTTGCACCCCACACACAATATCAAATTGAAATTGATAAAATTATCGCCTATTAACGCATTATTTAGATCAATAAGCTTGCCTCAATTCAATTTAGATTACTTCCGTTAAAATTAGCTACTTAAAGAGGTTTAAATTTTTCTGGAGTAGTAACAACCCCAAGTACCAATATTCCACCACTTTGAATACAAGGATTTTTACTTGACAAAATTTTTCTTCAACTTGCATCACAATTTCAAAGGTGGAAGCCACAATTGAACGCAGGAAAATGACTGGCGGTCAAATACTGAGCGAAATGTCATAAAGATGTTTCCTGTTTCCTAATTCACGGTATTTCCTAAATAACTAAATTGGTTAAATCGACCCAGATTGTATCGCCTAATCATCGAAGTTACGAGCCCCTGACCGAAAAACTCATATTCAGCAAAAACAATAGTTTTTCTTGAAAATTTAAAAACCATTTTTCTCGTGCAATTTCCTGATCCAGTTATTCTTTACTAGGCCTGCCCTAGGGTTATATTCGCCTTACGGTTAAAATTACACTGAGATTCGATCAAATTTCGGACACTTAGGGCGGGCATTTGGTCTTCTCGAACTGCACAAAGTATATTTGTTTTGAAATTTTGCTGGAACTATTTAGCCAGACTCTATATTTTTGAAGTAAATAAGTCTCTATTCCTGGTAGATTTATGCCTTTGGTGAAAAATTACCAACACTAGGATCGATCGCAATCAGGGGTTGAACTATTGAGAGAGGGTTAAAAAAAATCGCTCACTCGATAATTTTGAGTAATTCGTTTGCCACGGCTACAAAAAAAGCTCAAACGAAACTGATTCAAAAATAGTTTTCTTTTCATATTACAATTAAAAGTTCTCATTAAACTGGTTCAATAGTTCACGAGAACTCTCACAGCTTCTAAACAATATGCAACTCCACAATCATGACCATATGAAAAAAATTGACAGGAACGCTTAAGAAATGTCAAGATCTTGGTCTTCTCTCTGAAACTTGGACTTACGCAGTTAATTGAAAAAAAAGATACTTCAAAATTATACAAACAGACGGAGCGGAGCTTCACAGCACTTGCGATACGTAACACAAGTGGCACTGCAAGCAGGTGGATAAAAATGAGACACGGAAGCCACTAAGTCGAAAACACTGCTGGAAAAAAACTTCATCTACATATAAGTCTCCAATGATGTTCAATTTGAGGAAAACGAGTCGAGAAACAAAAGATATTCCGTTAAATAAGTAAATAGGTAGACGAAACTTAAATCGGTAACTAGGCAGAAAAAACTTGAGTAGACGTCTCTTAAGCCAAAAAAAAAATCCAATGAAATTTTGCACAACGAAGTTCCGTCAATCCAAGTTGTTAGGTTCCTCAAAGCACAAAACAACATAAAACGATTTATTGCGAGGCAATGAGGCGATTTATTGTGAGGCATACCGATATATCATAAATTATGATTCATACCATTCAATAACTCTACTCCTTCAGAAAAACAGTCATTTTAACAACCAGTTTATCAAGTTCCTTCAATTTAGTTGCTGAAATACGCAATGCTTCGACTGGACTTTCAAATTTTCCAATTCCTTAAAGGCTATTTATCCGGTTTCTGGATAACTTCATAGCAATATTATGATCACCTTTCACTCTTCTGTTTGAGATAAGATATTTAAATTAAACTGACATGGATCTACTTAAATTGATTAAAAACACTACTACACTCGGGCGCAGATCGCGTTTGATGTCGCACATTTCAACACAACAGGTCCAGTTTAATAAACTCGTGACAATCAACACTAACAGCAGAAAATATCTACAACAAATTGTTACCACATTAACAAAACAGTCTTCTAAGCCCTATTTACTCCCGGTCTAATATTCCTCAAAGTCTAATGAACTCTTTCACAAATGCATTTTCAATTGGGTAAAATGTTAAGACAACAAGTTAGTAGAACAACCCACTTTAGATTCTCGAGACTCAATAAGTGCCAAGTAATCATTTACTACGAGATTTTTGTAATAAGCGAAGCCCAAAAAGTATAGACTGAAGGCCAAGTTCAAAGCACATGAGCCAAATTAAAATTTATGTTCTGAGAACGAAGCATTAAGTCATCGAATGCCAAGTTCGATTAACTAATAATTACTAAACTGGGAGCCAATTTGCCTGAAAGCCTGTTAATCTTTTTGAGCAAAACACGCCTATAAACTTTCTATCAGTTCCTTTGCTCGGCATGCTTCAAAACTACCAGATGCTAAGCAGTACATGGTCAAACAAAATCATCACTTAACCTTCATTATCACCTTTCTTCATCCACGTCAAAAACTCTCATAAATTCGAGCATAATATCGCAATGCTTTGGCACCGTATATCAAGAAAATTAAAAAGTTTTTAAGAAAAAGAACAAATTCCAAAAAATGGAAATTTAAGTCCAATAATGCTTTTCTGCACAAATAAGGCCAGAGCTGCTATTCAGAGAACATTCCCAGCGCACGTTCTTTCGACTGAGCATCTCAGATTTGGTATGATAGTTTGAGAAAATCATGTTCCCGAGAAACGGTAAAATTTCAAAAGTATATTTTTTTAAATAGTGCGTTGCTGCTCGAGCAGACAAACTTTTCGCAACCTTTTTCGATTGATCCTTCTATGCAAAATTTGGTAGAGTAGTTTTAGAGAACAGTCTAAATTCCAAAAACGGCAAAAACTTCAAAAATAGACAACATATATGGCTATAACAATTTTCTACTTAAATTAGGGTGTAGCCATGCATGCAGGTAGGTATCCATACAGCTGCTTTTATGATTGAAGCTTTAATCTCCAATATTTAGCAGAGTATTTTTCAAGAATAAGTGAAAATTTTTCCAAGAATCGGTCAAAATTTTGGAAAAAAAGATGCCACCAAAGTATATTAATAATTGCGACTTGGGTTGGAGAAAACTCTTTTTATTTTCAAATTTTAATTCTTGTAGTCAGAATATTTTGTGCGAGAAACAATAGATCACCCTTAGGCTCCTCTGAATTTCACAGAAACTGATATAACTAGCCTAAAAAGAAAACATGATCTGGAGTATTTTTTTTATTTCACTAAGAAATCTAAAACCTCAAATCCAATTTCGAAAGAAAACATCAATCGCATTTTTGCGCTATCTGCACTTTCATTATTTGAGAAGGTAATTTGTCATACTTTTAACAAATGAGTATGAATTGAGCTTCAAAAAATCAAAGTAAATTCGTGAAAATTCAAATACATCTCACACGCCAAAGAGTGCTACCAAGGACATGAATAAAGGTACATCTGTCACGAAAAATCTAAAAATCAAGATTACCAGGCACGAAACCTACAAGTAGATAAAGGAACATTCAGTCCTGCAGTATTCAGTTGGAGATGGGGTTGCTTCACCCGAAACATTAAAAATATCACGACTTCTTTGAAAAATATTGCGAAAACGATCGGCTTAAAGAGGCAATTAACTTTCTACGGAAAAAACTGTCCCTAGATCTGTGAGAAAAATTTCCTTTCGAGGTGAACGCAATGAAGGAAAAGGAACATATTGAAGAATTGGATTTAGGAAAAGGAAGATGGTACAATATTAAACGGAAGAAATGCGGAAAAGACATGAAGCAGGTTCAAAGCTACATTTAAGTTAAGACTAGTTAACCACGAGGGAAAAGGCCAACATACGAGCTGTACAGCTCATCACGGTGAACCGCTGGTGTGCCCCAGCTTAAGAACTACATGCAATTTTTTTGTTATTATTGTACATTTAATATGTACATTTAACTAACAATATACTCCGACAGCAGCCTGTATCATAACCAAGATCCTTCTATAATAACAAAAGCATAGCCAACAGATTCTTGGAAAAATGTATAAGAATACAAGAAAACTGAAAAAACTTGATAGAACATTTTTCAACTTTCGAATTTCCAAGAAAAAATTCAAGCCATTTTCAGTTTCAATAAATGTTTATGATTGACTTTTTCCTTATAAATATCTCATTTAGTGAAAAATAGACCATTCTTTTGTTCCGCTGGCAATTTCGAGAATGAGCTAAATTTTTAAAACTAGAAGTCGATCACGTTTTTCGTGACTTTTGCACTTTGCTGTTCGGTTTTCTTTTAACAAAGGAAATGAACTGAATATATAAAAAAACAAGTCAATAGGCGAAAAATCAGATTTAAGCCTAAACAAATTTTAAGACTTTTTCCTGGAAAAAAACAAGGATACCTTGTTGTTGTGCAACTAGCACAGAATGTTCCGACCATATTCATTAAAAAAGACAAGAAAAAATTTTTTACTTCTCTTTTTCAAATAGAAGTCGTTGTTTGTCGCGGTGTGATGAGAAAACTAAACAAACGTGTTGAAAATTAATGAATTAGGCATATTCGACACCATTTGTCCAAAAAATGAACAACAAACAAAAATTAAAAAATTATATCAAAAAACCTTACAATAACTTTTAAATGTTTTTGGGAAACTTTTTTTGCCTAAGTAGCGCTATATTAGGCTAAATTTTTGTTTAGGAAGCGCTGAATAGCTTTCGTTTTGATAACATCAAGTTTTCAGAGCTGAAAATTTTGAAATAACGAACGTTACTCGCTCGCTTTACTCGCTCGAAATTAGAGTAACTCTCAAAATTTTCAAACCAGTTTTTCTCGACTCTGGGACAACTTTTTGAAAACTTTTGATGTCATTCGAACCACCGCTGAAAGGGCTCTTATATGATATATCACTCGACCCATTCAGATGACTACTTGTGGTACCTGATTTTTTGTGCAAAACAAAAAACTAACACATCCGAACCCAAAGTTCCTCCGTATTTTCAATGGTGGGAACAAAAATCACTTCATTCTTTTAAACGATAAAGTAAATCGAGAAAAATTAACAGTTTTGCGAAATGTACAAAAATTTCGAAGCGTCCGAAAAATCAAATCAGATGCATTTTCAAATTATCTGTTTTTTATCAAAAAGGAATTAGCCACCAATAAGCCAGATACAATGCTACGGAGCAAAAATCAACAAGATATAATGTAAAGGTGCCACGAAATAATGAGCACCTTTATCTGCGACTTCGGGTGGAAAAAAAATAAATGTAAAATAACACTACGCTGCGCCTGAGTAAAAAACGAAACTCCTACGAACCATCTCTGATGAAACAGGCAAAAGCGTTCAAAAAAACTCTCGAAATTACGCATCAAAACTTGACTAAGACGCTATAATATACGCCGAACCCGTTCAACCGAATTTTTTTTTTTAGATATTTAAGATCAGAAATGGTATAAGTTACAAACTACAGAACAAATTTCAATTATAGTAAAAACTGTTTGAATCAAAAATTAAAAAACCGAAGCTTTGGAAAGAAACTGCTTGAAAAGCGTACCCGGTCTTATAGATTGCATCTGGAAAAAAAAACGGAAAATCAGTCGACAAAAATTTGGACGAAAACGACAAATCCGAACAAAATCAACATTTTTACAAAAAATATATTTAAAAATAAGTACTACCCCAAATGAACTACAATGATGTGTAAAAAAAGATATGAAGATGTAAAGACGGATATTTAAAAGTTATTTATGCAAAAAAGTCTAGCTACCGATTACAAGTCACCGCGGTCGCACGTCGGGTATTTTTTTAATCAGCTGAAAACCCTAAAAATTACAATCCACCAATCTACTTTTAAAACTTGAAACCAAAACGTCACAACTCAAAAAAATGATGCGCAAATTTTTTCATGAAAATCACACGACATATAAAGAGAGAAATAGGTCGAAAGAACTTAACAAGTCGGTCAAATTTATAACAAGCTGCTTGTGATATAATACACTCATTGAAATGTACACTAACGTATTAATGACGACTAGATCTGGCCTCCAGACCAGAGCAGGAGGAAGTTGCATCTGGGGTATCTCATGGAACTCCGTGTTGTTCCAACCCACGTAGTTGTCATACCATTCTTGCGTGGGCCAGCAACTCACCACTAGCTGCTGTTTCTTCAAATCCTAAAATCAGACTCCACCTGTACGTGGGCTTAATTGCCCTTTTTTCTCCCAAGAAAGCGGTTACGATTAAAAGATGTCACCAATTAAGATACACTTGTTTTGGATGAAAAAAATTGAGACGCATTCGAAATAAACACAACACGCCTTCAATTAAAAGAACAAATTTAATCAGATTAGATTGATAAACACGCGGTTCTTTTCGATAAAACAGTATTAAAAGCACGAATTTCAATTACTTATTTCACATTTAAGCAGATACTTGGCTGTAAAAACAGCAATAACAGCAATATTTCAGGATGGCTAAATGATTAATAAGCTGAGCGCACTTCTCGCCTCCAAAAAAAAAAGTAAATAAGATTCGCTACCAAGTAAATAAATTCTTAAATTTCGTTCCATTAATGTCTAAAAATATATTTAAACGAAGTTATGAAATTCTCGCCACGAACTAAATAAAATCTTAAATTACATTCCATTAAATTCTAAAAAAATCTAACTCTAATTAATAAAATTTTCACCACCAAGTAAATAAAATCTTAAACTCCATTCCATTAAAATCTACAAATAAATTTAACAGTAGCTACAAACAACATTAGGGCAGACATAATGCAGACAAACTGTAGGGATTTGAACATTTTCAAGTTCAAGTCTGCGTTCGTTTCAGCTAATTTAATCATTTTGTCATTTTTGTGGGAAATATCAGCTGAAATTGAGATTAATTCCTCGTGCTGTTTAGAAACTTCAATCAACGCAGCCGAAATGACTTCAATTTCAAACTGAAGATCGGTTAGTTCTCGACTATGCGGGCGATTCTTTCCTTCCGTTCTTTTGATCACTTTTCTCGTGATCAATTTCACGATTTGCTTGTCAACGTCCGCCGAACTTTTCCAATGTTCTTGCATGTCGTTCGATAGCAATTCTTCTTTATTCATCGGTTTCAAAACCGGGCAAGTTTGCACTTGGATCTTCATAGTCGGCGGGGGTTGGAAATCAGGGTCCAAATTGGTCGAAACTTTGATGTCAATGAAGGAGTCTGAGAAACGAAGCAGGTCGTACGTGGGATGAATATTCAGCAGTTGAGGGTGGGTTGTTTGCAGTTTGAACGCTAATGATCCCCTCGTGTGATTTCTGATGACAAAACTGGTCTGTTTTACATTCAACATATCTACTATTTGAGGAGCTATTGAAACATGTTTCCCCACGACTAGATTTTTATCCACATTGGAACTTTCTCTCTGCTGCATCAATGGGCTTTTAGTAGTTATGCCATCTCGTTTAGCAACAAGTTCTACATTTTTGTCCGTTTTACAGTTTTCGCTGTTTTTCGATGTTGACGGCTCTTTAGCTTCATCTGAAAGTCAGAGGCCTTCAATATTTAGTTTTAATTTATAGTAAAGATTTAGTAGATGATTAACTAAAATTTGCACCCCATATTTCAATTTTTTGTTTGATAGTGCACTATTTAAAGCCCAAACATTTTCTATTACTATCTTATTTTCAGTATTAACCTTTTAAATTTTGCTCCTGTTTTTCCAAACTTTTAAACAAGTTCAAATAATACAATTATATCTTACATATTTATTAAACTTTCCGCACACATCTTTAATAGCTTTTCTCAGCACCAATCACAACATTTCATTTGTTTAATATACAGAGCCATGTGTTAAATAGCATAAATTTAGCCTCTGACTTGTCTTCGAACTGGTCTTTGAATTGGCGCTCACTCCTTCGGGACAAGTGGGATCCCATGACACGTTCACAAAACTCTCCGTCTTCCCACTGTCTATGATATTCGCAATCGCATCCGCATTTGACCTAGTACTGTTCGCCGAATAGTTTCTGCTGCGTCCCACTCTCAGAAGCGGAGAAAAGCTAACGTGACTTTCGTCGTCAAAAACATCATCTGTTGTTGCACTCCTCGCTTGAACTTGAATTGTTCTGAAACAGATTTAAAAAATAGAAAATAGAAAGAACGATAGCCTCAATTCACGTTTTAAATTGCAATATAACTTTAGAGAGCTCGGCAATTTCTGTGCAAGTAGCACAGAATTTTACGACCATAGTATTGGATGCTGAAACTTGGATGCCAAATGGTAAATTTTTGTAAACTTTTCGCTGTCTTGAGACGAGCTGAAGTTCAACTTGAAAAATGAGATAATTTAGAGTCAAATTAAAATAACCCTGAATAAAAAACTGATTGCAGTCATCAGGAATATGTCAAATAGATTTCATTGCTTTTAAGTAGTGAATTTTGTGCAATGAAAAAATTGATAAAAAGGTATGCGCGTGATAACACTACGCTTCGCGAGCAAAGACGCATTTGGTTTGACCAATAAGAGCGCAATTTTCACTTCGCATACAAAAGCGAAAAAACAAAATCGCTAAAATCCGCTGAGAATCAGAAAACTTAAGTCAATTTTGGAAACAAGAAGCCATTCATGTTTTTCCTGACCTTTTCACCTTTGCTGTTAGATAGTGAAGTTTGCCTTCATTTAATAATGAAAACGAAGTGATTTGAAAATAAATGATAAATCAAGCCGCGAAAAATTAAATTTGACCGTTAACAATACTTAAGCAGACAAACGTAGGTCGGGAAAATTTCAATTTCGCTCATACTGCCATTGCAACTGCCATTTTAAGAATTGCTTTTTTTCATATTTTGAAAAGCGTTTGTTCAAAAATGGATCAGATCGCGATTCGGGCAAATTTAGAGGTATGGATGATAAAGTTTGATTATCAAATGCTAAAATAATGATTATATCCAAAACTGCGTGTACCAGTGCAAAGGTGTGACTTTTCCGACTGTTCTAACGTATCAGATGCAGATTTTGGCAAACAAAAATAGAGACAAATTACAAAAAACATAACCAACAGAAGTTTGGAAAAGTTTGAAAAAAACACAGAAAACAAAAAAAATTGAAAGCAAAAATATATGTTTGCATTCTTAAATGCATTAACATGCAATATTGCACTTCTGTATTTATTAGAGCAATTTAGGACATTTTTAATTTTGACCAATAAAAAACATCGGCATCTTAGTCGACAGAAATCAAGACGAGAGCCATGAATGCGACGTCATTTAGTTACAAGTAATTAGTAAATTTAAATTTCGAGAACGCGAGAATTTCAGTGCAACAAATTTAGACAAAGCTGCCACCTAGAAAAAAACTAGTATCCGATTATAAAACTTTTGTTATCGCAAAGGTAAGGATGCTTTGGATGGAAAAAATGCCTTTGGATGAAAAAAATGCAAAAAAAAAACAAACTTTTCGCTCGTGTAAAACATGACAATTTAATTCTACTGATATTTTTGCCATCTGAATCACGAATGAAGGGATTCGAATTCTGATTGAAATTCATTTTATTTCTTGAAAACAGGTAACCTGCTATTTAACGATGGTTTACTTCAAATTATAATTAATTTTCAAACATATTTGATTTTCTGTTCAACTAACCTGTGCATACGGGGCATCGGGCTGTCGTAATGAACAGGCGTCACAGTCGTATTAGTGGATCCTGGAATCTGTCCGAGCCTGTCTTGAATGGCTTTCACTTTCGCTCTAACACTCGCCGCACTTTCATTCGATCTTGTTGAATCACGGAAGTGAGTACCTCGCGAGAAATCCGAACTGTGTGATTCAGAAATTTCACAATCTGGATTCTTGATCCCAACATCTGCGTAATCATAAATGTAGCGGCTGTCTCCACCCATATGAACAGGTAGTGTATCTCGGCTGATATACCTAATTATCTCTTTCGGCCCACAGAACTTTATTAACGCCAACGCTTCAGGTCCAAGCCAAGATTTGATAACATTCCAGGCCGCTTTGAAATAAAAGGGCATCTGATATGGAATGATCAGCTCCGGAAGATCTGGATAGAAGTTTTGGAGCATTGTGATGGCGAATTTCATGAACTCCATGTCCAAATTAGGAAGACTGGCGTTGACCATATCCAAAACCAAACAAACCTAAGCAAAAAATTTGCTCTGAATAAGCAACCTGACCTAACAGATTGGTGGAGTTTTGAAAATAAAGAAAAACAAAAACCTTTTCATATTGAGAATATGAATTTCACAAGAAAATCGGATCAATGGGGGTTTACTCAGGCACTCAACAAAAATAACTAGAATTTTCATTTTCATTCACTTCAAGCGAATGGTGAGCTCCATTTCGAATTGGAAAATCGAGTTAAATTGGAAAACCTATTTAATTGGAAATTGGAAAGAGGTCCCAAGTTAACTTTGGAAAAACGGAAAATCGAATAAAAGAAATTGGAGAATCGAGTTAAAGAGCTCCCAAGTTAATTTTGAGATATCTAAAATCTCGTGAAAAAGCATCCTTAGGACATATTTCATTTCACCTAACTCTTTGAAAGTAATCTTCGGAGGGATCATTCAGTTCAATTATTCTTGAAAGATAATAGCTTTTAAAAGTAAAACGTACAAAAATGTAACTATTGAGAATTTATCTACTTAAATATTGGAAGCATATTGGGAGAACTTAGAGAAGGTATGTTTTTCATTAACAATAAATGGTCGACTCACCTTCGGGTAGTTTTCAGTTGCGATCGAATCCCAGAGAATCTTCTCGAAGATCAATATGTACAGACGCTTCCCGTCCTCCAGATCCAGACCTTTTCTGAACTTTCTTACATGCACCCACAGAACTTGATTTCCAATGCAACTAAAGCCTTTCAAATACATTGTACCACTATTGTAGAATGTTTTGGATACGTCTTTTTCAGACAGTGTTTCTACTCCGAATGACTTTCTCCATTTCAAGAATCTCTCAAGCATTTTGGCTGCGTTTTTCACATCGCGATTCTGATGTATGTAAAACCTCATCAGAATCCCGTCGCGGGACAAAAATTTCGCCGGTTCGCCTGGAATCATCGCGGGTGCGTCCTCGCGTACGGATTTCTTGAAATAATGGCGGATACGCTCCGCAATCGCGGCCGTATTCTCTTCAGTTCCCATCGAAAAACTAATTTTCCGATATCCGAATATTCTCAATGAGAATTAAGATATTTACCCAATTCACTTTGATATAATTATTATATTTACAATAACGTTACATTGCTCTATTTTGTGTTGACTTTAGACGAGTAACAAATTTCAAATATTTTGATTCAATGTTAAATAGACAAACCTTAATTATCAAACGCCTTTGCGCCATTAAAATCAATAAACACTACATTCCAGACATTCGAAGGAGATAGCTTTTGAAGTTATTAACAAAGGTTGATTTGATATCATATGTTATGAGTATATTAGTCGTTTATAGGGGCGGATATTGTTTAGTTGGTACCATATGAGATAGTTAAAGAGATCCTAAAATGTGTTTTAAAGGAAGAAACTTACAACTTCCAATATCTGGATGACTTGAATCTGGATTTTCACTCTGAGCGGCTCATCTATGCTGTACTTTGTAGGCAACGTGACATTGGAGTAATTTGACAAATTTTCAGACAAGAATCTGAAAAGTCTGCTTGACTGTGACAGAGGTGCGGAAAGCCCAATAATTAGGCAATAGGCAAAGGAAATCAACAGAACTAGAAAACAAACAGCCATTCTCAATTTAAAATAAAACTCATTTTTTCTCTGCCGGGAGAGAATTAATAAAAAAAATAGAAGACAATACAGTTCATCGAATTTGATTGGCTCTAAAGTAAAATTCCAATCTGAAAATACCACAAACTCCATGCGGTTTAAACCTACGACGGCAGGAAAATCTTTCAACTACAGCAAGCCATTAATTCTGGACAAATTGGTATTAACCGATCAGGTAGACGGTCTTTTTCTAGATATTTCTTATTATATTTTCACTAGATTTCTAATAAAAACTTTTGTTATTATAAATAATATTGGGTTAAATTCAATATAACCTTGTTGAACTCAGCTGTCTTCACAAAACAATCCTTAGAGTGCCGATTTGATATTGAAAAAGCAAGGTTAAGATCCAATTGCGTAATTTTGCTTTTAGTAAATCAGATATGATGGCATTTATTGATATTATATAATTCTAAAAACAATTTAATTTATTTCATTTCACACAATTTTAGAAAGATTCACCTCTGGCAAATCAGCTTTTTGTTCCGAGCCTCCCCCTCCCCCCTAAAATGGCGTGGAGAAACTATGAAGCAGGGTTTCTTCTCCGACTCAGGTTGACTACATCTAAGAAAGATCGTAGGGATTCAATGGCGACATCAATACGAAGCCGTTTCCGCCGAGATTCGGATTCCAAAAAAATTAATGAAGTTTTCGCAGTGTTGAGAATAACTACTCTGAATTTCCAATCGATTTCTGTAAATTTGTCAATATTCTAGCTATACATAATTGAATATTATTGCTCATAAATCAATTCGTTTTTCTCACTAACCACGTCAGAAATATCGAAAAACAGTTACCTTTAAACCTAAAAACGGAAATAGGCGACGTCGGAACACTTACCAATAGGCGTGGTCAGCAAAGCAAGAGAAATTAAATGAAAAGCCAACAATTATCGGGGAAATTTACTACCAAAAACATGAGTTAACAAACTGTTGAAAGGAATTTAACAAACAGTTTAAAGGTTTAAGGAATTGTAGAAAATCAAACAACAGTTTTCTTTCGAAGTAAAATTCATAATCCAATGAAAAGTCAAAAAAACCTTTTTTAAACTTCTTAAGCATTAAAAATGAGCGTGAAAAAAATCGTTTCAAGCTTAACTAAATGCAAATTGACTAAATTCAGTAACACTTAAAAACAATGGACCATTTTTAAACTTCAAAACTCTTAAGACAAATTAAACAAAGCAACACGAGAAAATCGAATACAGTGCTCATTTAATTAAGCCAGACACAGCAAACAAAATTTGAAATTTCAAAAGCTTTGTTCTCAAACTGGGTTAAAATTAGAAAAAAAATGACGAGTACAAAGAATTGCTCAGAATTTTACCAGAAAGAATATGGTGCAATTTATTTTCCGACATTCGCAGCCAAAGTTTGCCCCAAAAATGGATCATTTTGTTTTTTCTTTTAAGTTCGGATTCTTCCGAGGTTATTGATGAGAAATTTATATCAAAAGAAGCCTCATACACAGCCCGACAAAATTTTAGAATGGTTAATCTCCAAAAAAATCTGTAAAAGAGATTATGTTTTTGGTTGATAGCCAATAAAGATCATTTTAACAATTTTGTAGTCAATTTTATTGAATTAGTCAATAAAATCTTTGCTTAAAAACAAATTTCAAACCTTTTGCGCAAAGTTTTGGATTTTTTATCTTCCTAAAACCTTGTCGAGCTGTGTATGAAGCTTTTTTTATATAAAGTTCCCACTAACTAACTCGTTAGTTATTAACCAAAAAAACGGCCCATTTTGAGGCAAAGTTTTGGCTGCAATAAATTTTACCATATTAATTTGGGTGATTTTCTGAACAACTTTCGTTCTCTTGAATTTTTCTCTAATTTTAACCCAATTTAAGAAAAAAAAGCCCGATAATATGTTCTCTTCCATTTTTCTCTAATTTAAATCCAATTTGAGAAAAAGCCTGGTAGCTTTGTCCGCATAATTTAAATCAGAACTGTACAACATCAGCTATATTTCAACTTCGCGATAAAAAACTAAGACGAAAAAAGCATTTGAAGAAAAAACACATTACAAAAGTACTAATACTAATTAGAAAAACTAAATTTAAAAGAAGTACATAGGCTTTACTAATAAAACGAAATCACGCCATGTATCTGTATAAGTATTTTTTGGATTGGATTTCATTCGTGCATTATTTTTAGGTTTCTTTTGAGAATTGAACAATTGCTACAGAAGCTTCTCAACTTTAAAGGCAAAAAAAATTAATTTGTTAGATAACACATGAACAAAAGAAGTTGAGAGAAGTAGTCACCTAATCAGTTGTTTGTTTGCAAATTTTATTATAAGATGTTCGTTATCTTATAACAAAAGCACAACTCTCTTTTCAATTCAAATGAAAAAATTAATTTTGCGCAATGTCGTTTGAATTAATTTTTTACTGCCCAGTTGAACTGCTTCTCTAATGAAAAAATTTTCTGTAAAATCACTGCAGCGTAACCAAAATGAGATAAAACCAATTATTCTGACTTGAGATTGAAACAAAAGTCCTGAGTCTACTATCAGTGAAAGAGTACAATTAGTAACAGGTCCCAATTAATAACAAAGAACAACTAATGACAGCAGATAAAGCTGAAAACACTGCTTTACACGTACTATTCCTCTCGTGCCGAACGTAAGCGCAGCTTTCGCTACTTGTCAATGTTGTCGCTTATTACGATTTGTTGCTTGTTACGAAATGTCGCCGGTTACGAGATGCCCTACGCATGATCAAACTTGAATAATTGCATTAATCACAAGAAAAGCCGGTTGCTGAGCAAGTAACACAGAAAGTTCCGACCACAGTAATAAAAAACTATAAAGGAAGATTTTTCCCAACTTGTCGTTTTTATTCATGGCGAGATGAGAACTGAACGCAAGCTTATAAATAATGCTTACAAAAATTTTCCTCGGAGAGTGATCAGAAATTTTCTTACAGAATAATAAAAAAACTCTTTTTGTTTTATTAAAAAATTTACTCTTAAGAATGCGCTAAAAAGAGATCCGCAAACATGTTTTGAAGGAAAACAACTTAAATTTCACATATTACTTTGAGTAACAAAAATTTGGTACACAGAGACGAAGCTGAGCTTCGCATCACTTGCGATACAAATATGAAGCCTAGGAAAAAAATCAAAAAATCGTTTTTGTCAAAAAAAAATTGCAACAAAAGTCCAAAATATCCGGAGCAAAATTGCCTGCACCATAAGAAACTCTCTCTACAAAAACTTTCGCAATGCTTTGAAGAACACAAGTTTTAAAAACAAACCTTTCTTCGTTTATTACTCATAAAAAGACTAATCAAATTGAAAAAGAAGCCTCTCAAAACAAAAAATGCAAAGAAAGCCAAAAATAACCTATAACAAAACAACGAAAACCATCATCACCATTAGAAGCTTTACAAAAAACATTATGAATGCTAGATATAAACTCTTCCTTCAAAAAAAATATTATCTGCGCGGAAACTAGACAAAAATAAGCAGACAGACAAAAATCTAAATTAGCCAAAATTCTCTATTTGCTAGAAAAACAGGTCTCAACTGGAATAGAACTTCCGGGCTTTGTCGTCTCAAGTATGGGGATAACAGCAACCTGGAAAAGCTCTAAGCTATGGGAACTACGCCGACAAATATAAACAGACGGACGCTAGTCCGAAAAAGCACAAAAAGGGCCCAGCCGGATTTGAACCTCAAATCTTTGCTGTCTGTAGAAGTTGATTCACCTCTACTTTAGATGCTCCGGATATTTGATTGGATTTAAATTTATAATTACCAAGCGATAACAAAGCCGAAAAAACCTGAGCAGAAATCCTTCATGCCGAAGAGAGTTTCAAAAAAAATTCTACACTTAAAAAAATCTCCTGAGCACACACACCCGCACAAAAGATTTTTTCAGACAAAACGACGCAATAAGGGGCCACTAAGTCGTCATTAATTAGGCCGACATTTATAGAGCAGATGAAAAAGATGAAAACCAGGAAAAAAGACAACAGAAATTCTAACAAATGGAGCTGGTAAAATTACAACCAGTGAGAAAAGAAAATTTCGATTCGGCCGGATTTTTAAAAAGCTAAAAAACAACTGCTGTTGATAATGTTTACAGCTAAAATAAAGGATTTTTAAGTGAGGCAACTGAGCCGACAAAACATAAACAGACAAATAACAGGCCGTTTTTTTGAACCGAGACATTTACCGTTTGAAAGAAAAAACTGGAACTGGTCAGATTCGAACCCAAGACCTTTGCCGTCCTGGGCGTATTCGTTACCACCAGGCTAAATGTTCAAGAAATGCTACAAAATTTGAATTCATTGTGAACCAAGGAAGGTACCACCAGGAATCTAATGAGTCAATGGACAAAGTTGTTTAGGGAAAAAAAGTCTTTCTTTCAAATAGTACATCACTCCCCTCATTCAGGCGTGATAACTATTTAATGTGAAACACCCAAAGACACCCCCAATTTCAGTAATCGGACTAACTAGCTTGCAAATTCATTTAAACCAAGGTTTAACACAGAATCGAAGCTGAGCATCGCACCAATTGCGATACGCAAAGCCACCGAACGTGAAAAAATTGACAGAACCCCAAATTGACAGAACCCCAAAAACAGCGACACCCGAAAACTTCAAATCTTCGTTTCAAACTGAAATTCATTTTGATGACAACCTGTGGCAGAACACAAAATCCAGTATTGAACTAGCTTGAAAAACTTCTAGCCTTGCAATTTAGTCAGTAGAAAAAAGATTAATTTAAAAAAATAATCTAAAAAAATTAATGTGAAGCAAAGAATTGACAGGGATGTTTCTTAAGTGAAGAAAAGGCTCACCAGCAACTCTATTCTGGCTATTCCTTATGACAAAGGCACTGGTTTTTGTTTAATGCGTTCTACCTCTTATAGTCTTAAAATTAGTCGTATGCTTGCTGGGAATCAGTTTACTCGTATAGATGATCGTAAAGACATGGTCTTAAGTGAAGAAAACACTTTTCGCAATAAACTTGCCGTTTTAAACAAAGCTGGTAAGATTTCGGATGTATTTTACCAGAAAGTCCGACCTGTCGGTTCTCAACCTGCTAGATTTTACGTCTTAGCTTAAGTTCATAAAACTGGTGTAC